GTAATAGGACATTTATATCTATGATGTCAAAATGTACTTAGTGCGGGTGGGATTTGAACCCACGAGGACTAATGTCCATTGGAACTTAAGTCCAATGCCTTAACCGCTCGGCCACCACACTCAATGTTACATTTAGTATTGGTTCAATCATTCAATTGTGATAGGAAATTTATATCAATGATGTCAAAATGTACTTAGTGCAGGTGGGATTTGAATCCACGAGGACTAATGTCCATTGGAACTTAAGTCCAACGCCTTAACCGATCGGCCACCACACGCAATGTTACACTTCGTATTGGTTCAATCATTCAATTGTGATAGGACATTTATATCAATGATGTCAAAATGTACTTAGTGCGGGTGGAATTTGAACCCACGAGGACTAATGTCCATTGGAACTTAAGTCCAACACCTTAACCGATCGGCCACCACATGCAATGTTACTCTCCGTATTGGTTCAATCATTCAATTGTGATAGGACATTTATATCAATGATGTCAAAATGTACTTAGTGTGGGTGGGATTTGAACCCACGAGGACTAATGTCCATTGGAACTTAAGTCCAACGCCTTAACCGCTCGGCCACCACACTGAATGTTACATTTAGTATTGGTTCAATCATTCAATTGTGATGGGACATTTATATCTATGATGTCAAAATGTACTTAGAGCAGATGGGATTTGAACCCACGAGGACTAATGTCCATTGCAACTTAAGTCCAACGCCTTAACGGCTCGGCCACCACACTGAATGTTACACTTAGTATTGGTTCTATCATTCAATTGTGATAGGACATTTATATCTATGATGTCAAAATGTACTTAGTGCGCGTGGGATTTGAACCCACGAGGACTAATGTCCATTGAACTTAAGTCCAACGCCTTACCGCTCGGCACACACTCATGTGATAGTTTAATTGTGATAGGACATTTATATCTATGATGTCAAAATGTACTTAGTGCGGATGGGATTTGAACCCACGAGGACTAATGTCCATTACAACTTAAGTCCAACGCTTAACCGCTCGGCCACCACACTGAATGTTACACTTAGTATTGGTTCAATCATGCAATTGTGATAGGACATTTATATCAATGATGTCAAAATGTACTAGTGCAGGTGGGATTTGAACCCACGAGGACTAATGTCCATTGGAACTTAAGTCCAACGCCTTAACCGCTCGGCCACCACACTGAATTTTACACTTAGTATTGGTTCAATCATTCAATTGTGATAGGACATTTATATCTATGATGTCAAAATGTACTTAGTGCGGGTGGGATTTGAACCCACGAGTACTAATGTCCATTGGTACTTGAGTCCAACGCCTTATCCGCTCGGCCACCACACTCAATGTTACATTTAGTATTGGTTCAATCATTCAATTGTGATAGGAAATTTATTTCAATGATGTCAAAATGTACTTAGTGCAGGTGGGATTTGAATCCACGCGGACTAATGTCCATTGGAACTTAAGTCCAATGCCTTAACCGCTCGGCCACCACACTGAATGTTACACTTAGTATTGGTTCAATCATTCAATTTTGATAGGACATTTATATCAATGATGTCAAAATGTACTTAGTGTGGGTGGGATTTGAACCCACGAGGACTAATGTACGTTGGAACTTAAGTCCAATGCCTTAACTGCTCGGCCACCACACTGAATGTTACACTTGGTATTGGTTCAATCCTTTAATTGTGATAGGACATTTATATCTATGATGTCAAAATGTACTTAGTGCGGATGGGATTTGAACCCACGAGGACTAATGTCCATTACAACTTAAGTCCAACGCCTTAACCGCTCGGCCACCACACTGAATGTTACACTTAGTATTTGGTTCAATCATGCAATTGTGATAGGACATTTATATCAATGATGTCAAAATGTACCTAGTGCAGGTGGGATTTGAACCCACGAGGACTAATGTCCATTAGAACTTAAGTCCAACGCCTTAACCGCTCGGCCACCACACTGAATTTTACACTTAGTATTGGTTCAATCATTCAATTGTGATAGGACATTTATATCTATGATGTCAAAATGTACTTAGTGCGGGTGGGATTTGAACACACGAGTACTAATGTCCATTGGTACTTAAGTCCAATGCCTTAACCGCTCGGCCACCACACTGAAGGTTACACTTAGTATTGGTTCAATCATTCAATTGTGATAGGACATTTATATCAATGATGTCAAAATGTACTTAGTGCGGATGGGATTTGAACCCATGAGGACGAATGTCCATTGGAACTTAAGTCCAACGCCTTAACCGCTCAGCCACCACACTGAATGTTACACTTAGTATTGGTTCAATCATTCAATTGTGATACGACATTTATATCTATGATGTCAAAAGTGTACTTAGTGCGGGTGGGATTTGAACCCACGAGGACTAATGTCCATTGGAACTTAAGTCCAATGCTTAACCACTCGGCCACCACACTGAATGTTACACTTAGTTTTGGTTCAATAATTCAATTGTGATACGACATTTATATCTATGATGTCAAAATGTACTTAGTGCATGTGGGATTTGAACCCACAAGGGTTAATGTCCATTGGCACTTAAGTCCAACGCCTTAACCGCTCAGCCACCACACGCAATGATACTCTTAGTATTGGTTCAATCACTCAATTGTGATAGGACATTTATATCAATGATGTCAAAATGTACTTACTGCGGGTGGGTTTTGAACCCACGAGGACTAATGTCCATTGGAACTTAAGTCCAACGCCTTAACCGCTTGGCCACCACACTGAATGTCAAATTTAGTATTGGTTCAATCATTCAATTGTGATAGGACATTTATATCTATGATGTCAAAATGTACTTAGTGCGGGTGGGATTTGAACCCACGAGGACTAATGTCCATTGGAACTTAAATCCAACGCCTTAACCGCTCGGCCACCACACTCAATGTGATAGTTCAATTGTGATAGGACATTTATATCTATGATGTCAAAATGTACTTAGTGCAAATGGGATTTGAACCCACGAGGACTAATGTCCATTGGAACTTAAGTCCAACGCCTTAACCGCTCAGCCACCACACTGAATGTTACACTTAGTATTGGTTCAATCATTCAATTGTGATAGGACATTTATATCTATGATGTCAAAATGTACTTAGTGCGGGTGGGATTTGAACCCACGAGGACTAATGTCCATTGGAACTTAAGTCCAACGCCTTAACCGCTCGGCCACCACACTCAATGTTACATTTAGTATTGGTTCAATCATTCAATTGTGATAGGAAATTTATATCAATGATGTCAAAATGTACTTAGTGCAGGTGGGATTTGAACCCACGAGGACTAATGTCCATTGGAACTTAAGTCCAATGCCTTAACCGCTCGGCCACCACACTGAATGTTACACTTAGTATTGGTTCAATCATTCAATTGTGATAGGACATTTATATCTATGATGTCAAAATGTACTTAGTGCGGGTGGGATTTGAACCCACGAGGACTAATGTCCATTGGAACTTAAGTCCAACGCCTTAACCGCTCGGCCACCACACTCAATGTTACATTTAGTATTGGTTCAATCATTTAATTGTGATAGGAAATTTATATCAATGATGTCAAAATGTACTTAGTGCAGGTGGGATTTGAATCCACGAGGACTAATGTCCATTGGAACTTAAGTCCAACGCCTTAACCGATCGGCCACCACACTGAATGCTGAACTTTAGTATTGGTTCAATCATTTAATTGTGATAGGAAATTTATATCAATGATGTCAAAATGTACTTAGTGCAGGTGGGATTTGAATCCACGAGGACTAATGTCCATTGGAACTTAAGTCCAACGCCTTAACCGATCGGCCACCACACGCAATGTTACATTTAGTATTGGTTCAATCATTCAATTTTGATAGGACATTTATATCAAAATGTACTTAGTGTGGGTGGGATTTGAACCCACGAGGACTAATGTCCATTGGAACTTGAGTCCAACGCCTTAACCGCTCGGCCACCACACTCAATGTTACACTTAGTATTGGTTCAATCATTCAATTGTGATAGGACATTTATATCTATGATGTCAAAATGTACTTAGTGCGGGTGGGATTTGAACCCACGAGGACTAATGTCCATTGGAACTTAAGTCCCAACGTCTTAACCGCTCGGCCACCACACTCAATGTTACATTAGTATTGGTTCAATCATTTAATTGTGATAGGAAATTATATCAATGATGTCAAAATGTACTTAGTGCAGGTGGGATTTGAATCCACGAGGACGAATGTCCATTGGAACTTAAGTCCAACGCCTTAACCGATCGGCCACCACACTGAATGTTACAGTTAGTATTGGTTCAATAATTTAATTGTGATAGGAAATTTATATCAATGATGTCAAAATGTACTTAGTGCAGGTGGGATTTGAATCCACGAGGACTAATGTCCATTGGAACTTAAGTCCAACGCCTTAACCGATCGGCCACCACACTGAATGTTGAACTTTAGTATTGGTTCAATCATTCAATTTTGATAGGACATTTATATCAATGATGTCAAAATGTACTTAGTGTGGGTGGGATTTGAACCCACGAGGACTAATGTACGTTGGAACTTAAGTCCAATGCCTTAACCGCTCGGCCACCACACTGAATGTTACACTTGGTATTGGTTCAATCCTTCAATTGTGATAGGACATTTATATCTATGATGTCAAAATGTACTTAGTGCGGATGGGATTTGAACCCACGAGGACTAATGTCCATTACAACTTAAGTCCAACGCCTTAACCGCTCGGCCACCACACTGAATGTTACACTTAGTATTTGGTTCAATCATGCAATTGTGATAGGACATTTATATCAATGATGTCCCTAGTGCAGGTGGGATTTGAACCCACAAGGACTAATGACCATTGGAACTTAAGTCCAACGCCTTAACCACTCGGCCACCACACTCGATACACTAGTATGGTTCTATCATTCAATTGTGATAGGAAATTTATATCAATGATGTCAAAATGTACTTAGTGCGGGTGGGATTTGAACCCACGAGGACTAATGTCCATTGGAACTTAAAGTCCAACGCTTTAACCACTCGGCCACCACACTCGATTCTACCCCTAGTATTGGTTCTATCATTTAATTGTGATAGGAAATTTATATCAATGATGTCAAAATGTACTTAGTGCAGGTGGGATTTGAACCCACGAGGACTAATGTCCATTGGAACTTAAGTCCAATGCCTTAACCGCTCGGCCACCACACTGAATGTTACACTTAGTATTGGTTCAATCATTCAATTGTGATAGGACATTTATATCTATGATGTCAAAATGTACTTAGTGCGGGTGGGATTTGAACCCACGAGGACTAATGTCCATTGGAACTTAAGTCCAACGCCTTAACCGCTCGGCCACCACACTCAATGTTACATTTAGTATTGGTTCAATCATTTAATTGTGATAGGAAATTTATATCAATGATGTCAAAATGTACTTAGTGCAGGTGGGATTTGAATCCACGAGGACTAATGTCCATTGGAACTTAAGTCCAATGCCTTAACCGATCGGCCACCACACTGAATGTTGAACTTTAGTATTGGTTCAATCATTTAATTGTGATAGGAAATTTATATCAATGATGTCAAAATGTACTTAGTGCAGGTGGGATTTGAATCCACGAGGACTAATGTCCATTGGAACTTAAGTCCAACGCCTTAACCGATCGGCCACCACACGCAATGTTATATTTAGTATTGGTTCAATCATTCAATTTTGATAGGACATTTATATCAATGATGTCAAAATGTACTTAGTGTGGGTGGGATTTGAACCCACGAGGACTAATGTCCATTGGAACTTAAGTCCAACGACTTAACCACTCGGCCACCACACTGAATGTTACAACTAGTATTGGTTCAATCATTCAATTGTGATAGGACATTTATATCTATGATGTCAAAATGTACTTAGTGCGGCTGGGATTTGAACCCACGAGTACTAATGTCCATTGGTACTTGACTCCAACACCTTAACCGCTCGGCCACCACACTCAATGTTACATTTAGTATTGGTTCAATCATTCAATTGTGATAGGAAATTTATTTCAATGATGTCAAAATATACTTAGTGCTGGTGGGATTTGAATCCACGCGGACTAATGTCCATTGGAACTTTAGTCCAATGCCTTAACCGCTCGGCCACCACACTGAATGTTACACTTAGTATTGGTTCAATCATTCAATTGTGATAGGACATTTATATCTATGATGTCAAAATGTACTTAGTACAGATGGGATTTGAACCCACGAGGACTAATGTCCATTGGTACTTGAGTCCAACGCCTTAACCGCTCGGCCACCACACTCAATGTTACACTTAGTATTGGTTCAATCATTCAATTGTGATAGGACATTTATATCTATGATGTCAAAATGTACTTAGTGCGGGTGGGATTTGAACCCACGAGTACTAATGTCCATTGGTACTTGAGTCCAACACCTTATCCGCTCGGCCACCACACTGAATGTTACACTTGGTATTGGTTCAATCCTTTAATTGTGATAGGACATTTATATCTATGATGTCAAAATGTACTTAGTGCGGGTGGGATTTGAACCCACGAGGACTAATGTCCAATGGAACTTAAATCCAACGCCTTAACCGCTCGGCCACCACACTCAATGTTACATTTAGTATTGGTTCAATCATTTAATTGTGATAGGAAATTTATATCAATGATGTCAAAATGTACTTAGTGCAGGTGGGATTTGAATCCACGAGGACGAATGTCCATTGGAACTTAAGTCCAACGCCTTAACCGATCGGCCACCACACTGAATGTTACAGTTAGTATTGGTTCAATCATTTAATTGTGATAGGAAATTTATATCAATGATGTCAAAATGTACTTAGTGCAGGTGGGATTTGAACCCACGAGTACTAATGTCCATTGGAACTTAAGTTTAACGCCTTAACCGATCGGCCACCACACGCAATCTTACATTTAGTTTTGGTTCAATCATTCAATTTTGATAGGACATTTATATCAATGATGTCAAAATGTACTTAGTGTGGGTGGGATTTGAACCCACGAGGACTAATGTACGTTGGAACTTAAGTCCAATGCCTTAACCGCTCGGCCACCACACTGAATGTTACACTTGGTATTGGTTCAATCCTTCAATTGTGATAGGACATTTATATCTATGATGTCAAAATGTACTTAGTGCAGATGGGATTTGAACCCACGAGGACTAATGTCCATTACAACTTAAGTCCAACGCCTTAACCGCTCTGCCACCACACTGAATGTTACACTTAGTATTTGGTTCAATCATGCAATTGTGATAGGACATTTATATCAATGATGTCAAAATGTACTTAGTGCGGGTGGGATTTGAACCCACGAGTACTAATGTCCATTGGTACTTGAGTCCAACGCCTTATCCGCTCGGCCACCTCACTCAATGTTACATTTAGTATTGGTTCAATCATTCAATTGTGATAGGAAATTTATTTCAATGATGTCAAAATGTACTTAGTGCGGATGGGATTTGAACCCATGAGGACGAATGTCCATTGGAACTTAAGTCCAACGCCTTAACCGCTCGGCCACCACTCTGAATGTTACACTTAGTATTGGTTCAATCATTCAATTGTGATACGACATTTATATCTATGATGTCAAAATGTACTTAGTGCGGGTGGGATTTGAACCCACGAGGACTAATGTCCGTTGGAACTTAAGTCCAACGCCTTAACCGCTCGGCCACCACACTCAATGTTAATTTTAGTATTGGTTCAATCATTTAATTGTGATAGGACATTTATATCTATGATGTCAAAAGGTACTTAGTGCGGGTGGGATTTGAACCCACGAGGACTAATGTCCATTGGAACTTAAGTCCAATGCCTTAACCGCTCGGCCACCACACTGAATGTTACACTTTGTATTGGTTCAATCATTCAATTGTGATAGGACATTTATATCTATGATGTCAAAATGTACTTAGTGCAGATGGGATTTGAACCCACGAGGACGAATGTCCATTGGAACTTAAGTCCAACGCCTTAAACGCTCGGCCACCACACTGAATGTTACACTTAGTATTGGTTCAATCATTCAATTGTGATACGACATTTATATCTATGATGTCAAAATGTACTTAGTGCGGGTGGGATTTGAACCCACGAGGAGCTAATGTCCATTGGAACTTAAGTCCAACGCCTTAACCGCTCGGCCACCACACTGAAATGTTACACTTAGTTTTGGTTCAATATTCAATTGTGATACGACATTTATATCTATGATGTCAAAATGTACTTAGTGCATGTGGGATTTGAACCCACAAGGATTAATGTCCATTGGCACTTAAGTCCAACGCCTTAACCGCTCAGCCACCACACGCAATGATACTCTTAGTATTGGTTCAATCACTCAATTGTGATAGGACATTTATATCTATGATGTCAAAATGTACTTTGTGCGGGTGGGATTTGAACCCACGAGGACTAATGTCCATTGGTACTTGAGTCCAACGCCTTAACCGCTCGGCCACCACACTCAATGTTACATTTAGTATTAGTTCAATCATTCAATTGTGATAGGAAATTTATTTCAATGATGTCAAAATGTACTTAGTGCAGGTGGGATTTGAATCCACGCGGACTAATGTCCATTGGAACTTAAGTCCAATGCCTTAACCGCTCGGCCACCACACTGAATGTTACACTTAGTATTGGTTCAATCATTCAATTGTGATAGGACATTTATATCTATGATGTCAAAATGTACTTAGTGCGGATGGGATTTGAACCCACGAGGACTAATGTCCATTGGAACTTAAGTCCAACGCCTTAACCGCTCGGCCACCACACTGAATGTTACACTTAGTATTGGTTCAATCATTCAATTGTGATACGACATTTATATCTATGATGTCAAAACGTACTTAGTGCGGGTGGGATTTGAACACACGAGGAATAATGTCCATTGGAACTTAAGTCCAACGCCTTAACTGCTCGGCCACCACACTCAATGTTACTTTTAGTATTGGTTCAATCATTTAATTGTGATAGGACATTTATATCTATGATGTCAAAATGTACTTAGTGCGGTGGGATTTGAACCCATGAGGACTAATGTCCATTGGAACTTGAGTCCAACGCCTTAACCACTCGGCCACCACACTCGATTCTACCCCTAGTATTGTTCTATCATTGATAGGAAATTTATATCAATGATGTCAAAATGTACTTAGTGCAGGTGGGATTTGAATCCACGAGGACTAATGTCCATTGGAACTTAAGTCCAATGCCTTAACCGATCGGCCACCACACACAATGTTACACTCCGTATTGGTTCAATCATTCAATTGTGATAGGACATTTATATCAATGATGTCAAAATGCACTTAGTGTGGGTGGGATTTGAACCCACGAGGACTAATGTCCATTGGAACTTAAGTCCAACTCCTTAACCGCTCGGCCACCACACTGAATGTTACACTTAGTATTGGTTCAATCATTCAATTGTGATAGGACATTTATATCTATGATGTCAAAAGTTACTTAGTGCGGGTGGGATTTGAACCCACGAGGACTAATGTCCATTGGAACTTAAGTCCAATGCCTTAACCGCTCGGCCACCACACTGAATGTTACACTTAGTATTGGTTCAATCATTCAATTGTGATAGGACATTTATATCTATGATGTCAAAATGTACTTAGTGCAGATGGGATTTGAACCCACGAGGACGAATGTCCATTGGAACTTAAGTCCAACGCCTTAACCGCTCGGCCACCACACTGAATGTTACACTTAGTATTGATTCAATCATTCAATTGTGATACGACATTTATATCTATGATGTCAAAATGTACTTAGTGCGGGTGGGATTTGAACCCACGAGGACTAATGTCCATTGGAACTTAAGTCCAACGCCTTAACCGCTCGGCCACCACACTCAATGTTAGATTTAGTATTGGTTCAATCATTTAATTGTGATAGGAAATTTATATCAATGATGTCAAAATGTACTTAGTGCAGGTGGGATTTGAATCCACGAGGACGAATGTCCATTGGAACTTAAGTCCAACGCCTTAACCGATCGGCCACCACACTGAATGTTACAGTTAGTATTGGTTCAATCATTTAATTGTGATAGGAAATTTATATCAATGATGTCAAAATGTACTTAGTGCAGGTGGGATTTGAATCCACGAGGACTAATGTCCATTGGAACTTAAGTCCAACGCCTTAACCGATCGGCCACCACACTGAATGTTGAACTTTAGTATTGGTTCAATCATTCAATTTTGATAGGACATTTATATCAATGATGTCAAAATGTACTTAGTGTGGGTGGGATTTGAACCCACGAGGACTAATGTACGTTGGAACTTAAGTCCAATGCCTTAACCGCTCGGCCACCACACTGAATGTTACACTTGGTATTGGTTCAATCCTTCAATTGTGATAGGACATTTATATCTATGATGTCAAAATGTACTTAGTGCAGATGGGATTTGAACCCACGAGGACTAATGTCCATTACAACTTAAGTCCAACACCTTAACCGCTCGGCCACCACACTGAATGTTACACTTAGTATTTGGTTCAATCATGCAATTGTGATAGGACATTTATATCAATGATGTCAAAATGTACCTAGTGCAGGTGGGATTTGAACCCACGAGGACTAATGTCCATTGGAACTTAAGTCCAACGCCTTAACCGCTCGGCCACCACACTGAATTTTACACTTAGTATTGGTTCAATCATTCAATTGTGATAGGAAATTTATTTCAATGATGTCAAAATGTACTTAGTGCGGATGGGATTTGAACCCATGAGGACGAATGTCCATTGGAACTTAAGTCCAACGCCTTAACCGCTCGGCCACCGCACTGAATGTTACATTTAGTATTGGTTCAATTATTCAATTGTGATACGACATTTATATCTATGATGTCAAAATGTACTTAGTGCGGGTGGAATTTGAACCCACGAGGACTAATGTCCATTGGAACTTAAGTCCAACGCCTTAACCGCTCGGCCACCACACTCAATGTTACTTTTAGTATTGGTTCAATCATTTAATTGTGATAGGACATTTATATCTATGATGTCAAAATGTACTTAGTGCGGGTGGGATTTGAAGCCACGAGGACTAATGTCCATTGGAACTTAAGTCCAACGCCTTAACCGCTCGGCCTCCACACGGAATTTTACACTTAGTATTGGTTCAATCATTCAATTGTGATAGGACATTTATATCTATGATGTCAAAATGTACTTTGTGCGGGTGGGATTTGAACCCACGAGGACTAATGACCATTGGTACTTGAGTCCAACGCCTTAACCGCTCGGCCACCACACTCAATGTTACATTTAGTATTGGTTCAATCATTCAATTGTGATAGGAAATTTATTTCAATGATGTCAAAATGTACTTAGTGCAGGTGGGATTTGAATCCACGCGGACTAATGTCCATTGGAACTTAAGTCCAATGCCTTAACCGCTTGGCCACCACACTGAATGTTACACTTAGTATTGGTTCAATCATTCAATTGTGATAGGACATTTATATCTATGATATCAAAATGTACTTAGAGCGGATGGGATTTGAACCCACGAGGACTAATGTCCATTGGAACTTAAGTCCAACGCCTTAACCGCTCGGCCACCACACTGAATGTAACACTTAGTATTGGTTCAATCATTCAATTGTGATAGGACATTTATATCTATGATGTCAAAATGTACTTAGTGCGGGTGGGATTTGAACCCACGAGGACTAATGTCCATTGGAACTTAAGTCCCACGCCTTACCACTCGGC